CGATTCCCGGCTAATGCACAGTGTAAATTGAAGCTTTAAGTGCTACTTTATGGTACTTGGAACAAAAGGAAGGAAGGACCTACCTGAAAATTAGTTGGCAATACAGTGTGCCATAGGCTTCGATGCAGGCCTCTTAGAAACCTTTCAGCTTCCCAGTTGTATTGTTACTGATTCTTTGCTGTTTGGAAGCACATCATTATCCATCAGGCCACGTTTCACCTGTGAACAAGGGGCACAAATGGGAGAAAATCGGGTCTGTCTTCTGTTAGCGACAAGCAGGCATGCAAACTGTCACGAGAGGTGTACATTTTCCGCTATCAGCTTTCTACATAGTCAATGTTTTATATTTAACAACCAAATATGCCTATATGCTGATTGGTCTTAAGCAGGGTTGTCCAATCTTCAGGTTTTTGTTCCAATCTAGCAGGAGCCACACCTGATTCCAATTGTTGGATCTGCTGATCTTTACTTTCAATAGACTAAAGTGTGGCTTCTGCTTGGTTAGTATGAAAACCTTCAGCCACACTGGCTCATTCTGGATAAGACTGGACAACCCTGATCTAAAGCAAATCAGCACTAAGGTAAGTGGCACTTTCTGAGTTCTGAACCGGTCATGTTGACGTCACTCGATGAACAGGGAAGGCACTGGTAGATGAGAAGACTTCCCATTGTTGACGAATGGCACTTTCAAGTCGAGGGTGCGTTGTTGTATGTTCCTGCTTTGAGGTGGGGGAATTACAAGTTGCAACCTCGGAGTCAAACGCATCCTTACCCTTGTCTTCTTGATCAAGGAAAGAGTCAGGCTTCCACAGTCAGTGGAAAAGCAGAGACTCCCTGTTATCTATTGAACAAAGCAGAGCACAGTCAGTGAAAAGCAGAGACTCGATATTTTGCAAGCAGCTGTTATCTGCCTTGCTACAAAAGCACAATGGAAGGGAAACCGCTCCCAGCCTTTTTCGAGCGGAGACCTTGCTGATAGGTGAACTTGGTGACCACACTTTACAGAAAAATTTCCAGTCAAGTTCAGAGTCTTACTGAGCAACAAAAGAGACAGGCTTCCACGTTCTTGTGGAAAACCAGAGATTCCCTTCATTTTGTAAGCAAATTTGATCTGCTTTGCTACAAAAGCAGGAATTCTGGTCAGTTCAAGGTCTCGCTTTGGCTGTTCATAGAGGATCTGATCCTATAGTGATGACAACGGTCAGTTATTAAAGCAAAATTTGAATTTGCAGCTTGTTTCGCCTGGTTCAACCAGGACCTTTGCATTAGGCAACTGATAACCACAAACAGAAACCATGAAAGCAATTTCTTTGGCTGTTACCTATTCTGCTGATAGAAATGCACATTCTTAAACTGACCAGAATTCTGCTTTTGTAGCAAAGCACAGTCAGTGGAAAAGAGATCCTTTATTTAGCCTTATCTCCTTGCTACAAAAGAACAATGGAAGGGAAACCGCCCCCAGCCTTTTTCGAGCGGAGACTTCTTGCTGATAGGTGAACTTGGTGACCACACTTTACAGAAAAATTTCCAGTCAAGTTCAGAGTCTTACTGAGCACAAAAAAGAGACAGGCTTCCACGTTCTGTGGAAAACCAGAGATTCCCTTTCATTTTGTAAGCAAATTTGATCTGCTTTGCAGCAAAAGCAGGAATTCTGGTCAGTTCGTTGCCTCGCTGGCTGTTCATAGAGGATCTGATCCTATAGTGATGACAACCGGTCAGTTATTAAAGCAAAATTCTAAATTTGTAGCTTGTCTCTGCCCGGTCTCGAACCAGGGACCTTTTTGTTAGGCAAACGTGATAACCACTACACTACAGAAACCACGAAAGCTCATTTCTTTGGCTGTTGCCTATGGTCTGCTGATGAGAAATGCACATTCTTAAACTTTTGCTCACCAGAATGGGATTTCCCATCATGGCATTGGTGATATAGTGGTGGGCATTGGTGGTATAGTGGTGAGCATAGCTGCCTTCCAAGCAGTTGACCCGGTTCGATTCCTGGCTAACGCACAGTGTAAATTGAAGCTTTAAAGTGCTACTTTATGGTACTTGGAACAAAAGGAAGGAAGGACCTACCTGAAAATTAGTTGGCAATACAGTGTGCCATAGGCTTCGATGCAGGCCTCTTAGAAACCTTTCAGCTTCCCAGTTGTATTGTTACTGCTTCTTTGCTGTTTGGAAGCACATCATTATCCATCAGGCCACGTTTCACCTGTGAACAAGGGGCAAAATGGGAGAAAATCGGGTCTGTCTTCTGTTAGCGACAAGCAGGCATGCAAACTGTGACGAGAGGTGTACATTTTCCGCTATCAGCTTTCTACATAGTCAATGTTTTATATTTAACAACCAAATATGCCTATATGCTGATTGGTCTTAAGCAGGGTTGTCCAATCTTCAGGTTTTTGTTCCAATCTAGCAGGAGCCACACCTGATTCCAATTGTTGGATCTGCTGATCTTTACTTTCAATAGACTAAAGTGTGGCTTCTGCTTGGTTAGTATGAAAACCTTCAGCCACACTGGCTCATTCTGGATAAGACTGGACAACCCTGATCTAAAGCAAATCAGCACTAAGGTAAGTGGCACTTTCTGAGTTCTGAATCGGTCATGTTGACATCACCGATGAACAGGGAAGGCACTGGTAGATGAGAAGACTTCCCATTGTTGACGAATGGCAATTTCAAGTCGAGGGTGCGTGGTACTGTTCCTGCTTGGAGGTGGGGAATTACAAGTTGCAACCCCAGTCAAACGCATCCTTACCCTTGTCTTCTTGATCAAGGAAAGAGTCAGGCTTCCACAGTCAGTGGAAAAGCAGAGACCGTTATTTTGCACTCTGCTATACACAAATCGGACAACGTGAAAAGAGACCCTGTTATTTTGCAAGCAGCTGTTATCTGCCTTGCTACAAAAGCACAATGGGAAACCGCCCCAGCCTTTTTCGAGGAGTTCTTGTGGGAACTTGGTACCACACTTTACAGAAAAAATTTCCAGCAAGTTCAGAGTCTTACTGAGCAACAAAAGAGACAGGCTCCACGTTCTGTGGAAAACCAGAGATCTTTCTTTTGTAAGAATTTGATCTGCTTTGCTACAAAAGCAGGAATTCTGGTCGTTCAAGGTCTCGCTTGGCTGTTCATAGGGTCTGTCCTATGGTGACACCGTCAAGAACTAAACTGACCAAATTCCTGCTTTGTAGCAAAGCACAGTCAGTGGAAAAGCAGAGACTCCCGTTATTTTGCAAGAGCTGTTATCTGCCTTGCTACAAAAGCACAATGGAAGGAAACCGCTCCCAGCCTTTTTCGAGCGGAGACTTCTTGCTGATAGGATGGGACCACACTTTACAGAAAATTTCCAGTCAAGTTCAGAGTCTTACTGAGCAACAAAGGAGACAGGCTTCCACGTTTGTGGAAAACCAGAGATTCCCTTTCATTTTGTAAGCAATTTGATCTGCTTTGCTACAAAAGCAGGAATTCTGGTCAGTTCAAGGTCTCGCTGGCTGTTCATAGAGGATCTGATCCTATAGTGATGACAACCGGTCAGTTATTAAAGCAAAATTCTAAATTTGCAGCTTGTCTCTGCCCGGTCTCGAACCAGGGACCTTTGCGTGTTAGGCAAACGTGATAACCACTACACTACAGAAACCACGAAAGCTCATTTCTTTGGCTGTTGCCTATGGTCTGCTGATGAGAAATGCACATTCTTAAACTTTTGCTCACCAGAATGGGATTTCCCATCATGGCATTGGTGATATAGTGGTGGGCATTGGTGGTATAGTGGTGAGCATAGCTGCCTTCCAAGCAGTTGACCCGGTTCGATTCCTGGCTAATGCACAGTGTAAATTGAAGCTTTAAAGTGCTACTTTATGGTACTTGGAACAAAAGGAAGGAAGGACCTACCTGAAAATTAGTTGGCAATACAGTGTGCCATAGGCTTCGATGCAGGCCTCTTAGAAAACCTTTCAGCTTCCCAGTTGTATTGTTACTGATTCTTTGCTGTTTGGAAGCCACATCATTATCCATCAGGCCACGTTTCACCTGTGAACAAGGGGCAAAAATGGGAGAAAATCGGGTCTGTCTTCTGTTAGCGACAAGCAGGCATGCAAACTGTCACGAGAGGTGTACATTTTCCGCTATCAGCTTTCTACATAGTCAATGTTTTATATTTAACAACCAAATATGCCTATATGCTGATTGGTCTTAAGCAGGGTTGTCCAATCTTCAGGTTTTTGTTCCAATCTAGCAGGAGCCACACCTGATTCCAATTGTTGGATCTGCTGATCTTTACTTTCAATAGACTAAAGTGTGGCTTCTGCTTGGTTAGTATGAAAACCTTCAGCCACACTGGCTCATTCTGGATAAGACTGGACAACCCTGATCTAAAGCAAATCAGCACTAAGGTAAGTGCCACTTTCTGAGTTCTGAATCGGTCATGTTGACATCACTCGATGAACAGGGAAGGCACTGGTAGATGAGAAGACTTCCCATTGTTGACGAATGGCAATTTCAAGTCGAGGGTGCGTTTTCGTTGTATGTTCCTGCTTGGAGGTGGGGAATTACAAGTTGCAACCTCGAGTCAAACGCATCCTTACCCTTGTCTTCTTGATCAAGGAAAGAGTCAGGCTTCCACAGTCAGTGGAAAAGCAGAGACTCCCTGTTATTTTGCAAGCAGCTGTTATCTGCCTTGCTACAAAAGCACAATGGAAGGGAAACCGCTCCCAGCCTTTTTCGAGCGGAGACTTCTTGCTGATAGGTGAACTTGGTGACCACACTTTACAGAAAAATTTCCAGTCAAGTTCAGAGTCTTACTGAGCAACAAAAGAGACAGGCTTCCACATTCTGTGGAAAACCAGAGATTCCCTTTCATTTTGTGCGCAATTTTGATCTGCTTTTGCTACACAAAGCAGGAATTCTGGTCAGTTCAAGGTCTCGCTGGGGCTGTTCATAGAGGATCTGATCCTATAGTGATGACAACCGGTCAGTTATTAAAGCAAAATTCTAAATTTGCAGCTTGTCTCTGCCCGGTCTCGAACCAGGGACCTTTTGATGCGTTAGGCAAACGTGATAACCACTACACTACAGAAACCACGAAAGCTCATTTCTTTGGCTGTTGCCTATGGTCTGCTGATGAGAAATGCACATTCTTAAACTTTTGCTCACCAGAATGGGATTTCCCATCATGGCATAGGTGATATAGTGGTGGGCATTGGTGGTATGGTGGTGAGCATAGCTGCCTTCCAAGCAGGAAGAAGGAAGGACCTACCTGAAAATTAGTTGGCAATACAGTGTGCCATAGGCTTCAATGCAGGCCTCTTAGAAACCTTTCAGCTTCCCAGTTGTATTGTTACTGATTCTTTGCTGTTTGGAAGCACATCATTATCCATCAGGCCACGTTTCACCTGTGAACAAGGGGCAAAAATGGGAGAAAATCGGGTCTGTCTTCTGTTAGCGACAAGCAGGCATGCAAACTGTGACGAGAGGTGTACATTTTCCGCTATCAGCTTTCTACATAGTCAATGTTTCATATTTAACAACCAAATATGCCTATATGCTGATTGGTCTTAAGCAGGGTTGTCCAATCTTCAGGTTTTTGTTCCAATCTAGCAGGAGCCACACCTGATTCCAGTTGTTGGATCTGCTGATCTTTACTTTCAATAGACTAAAGTGTGGCTTCTGCTTGGTTAGTATGAAAACCTTCAGCCACACTGGCTCATTCTCGGATAAGACTGGACAACCCTGATCTAAAGCAAATCAGCACTAAGGTAAGTGGCACTTTCTGAGTTCTGAACCGGTCATGTTGACGCCACCGATGAACAGGGAAGGCACTGGTAGATGAGAAGACTTCCCATTGTTGACGAATGGCAATTTCAAGTCGAGGGTGCGTTTGCGTTGTATGTTCCTGCTTGGAGGTGGGGAATTACAAGTTGCAACCTCGAGTCAAACGCATCCTTACCCTTGTCTTCTTGATCAAGGAAAGAGTCAGGCTTCCACAGTCAGTGGAAAAGCAGAGACTCCCTGTTATTTGCAAGCAGCTGTTACGCCTGTAAAAAAATTCCTGCTTTGTAGCAAAGCACAGTCAGTGGAAAAGCAGAGACTCCTGATATTTTGCAAGCAGCTGTTATCTGCCTTGCTACAAAAGCACAATGGAAGGGAAACCGCTCCCAGCCTTTTTTCGAGCGGAGACTTCTTGCTGATAGGTGAACTTGGTGACCACACTTTACAGAAAAAATTTCCAGTCAAGTTCAGAGTCTTACTGAGCAACAAAAGAGACAGGCTTCCACGCTTCGGTGGAAAACCAGAGATTCCCTTTCATTTTGTAAGTAAAATTTGATCTGCCTTGCTACAAAAGCAGGAATTCTGGTCAGTTCAAGGTCTCGCGGGCTGTTCATAGAGGATCTGATCCTATAGTGATGACAACCGGTCAGTTATTAAAGCAAAATAATCCCCCCCTTTTTCTCTTTTTTTTTTTTTTTTAAATTGCTTATGGTCTGCTGATGAGAAATGCACATTCTTAAACTTTTGGGATTCACCAGAATGGGATTTCCCATCATGGCATTGGTGAGATAGTGGTGGGCATTGGTGGTATAGTGGTGAGCATAGCTGCCTTCCAAGCAGTTGACCCGGGTTCGATTCCCGGCCAATGCACAGTGTAAATTGAAGCTTTAAGTGCTACTTTATGGTACTTGGAACAAAAGGAAGGAAGGACCTACCTGAAAATTAGTTGGCAATACAGTGTGCCATAGGCTTCAATGCAGGCCTCTTAGAAACCTTTCAGCTTCCCAGTTGTATTGTTACTGATTCTTTGCTGTTTGGAAGCACATCATTATCCATCAGGCCACGTTTCACCTGTGAACAAGGGGCAAAAATGGGAGAAAATCGGGTCTGTCTTCTGTTAGCGACAAGCTAGCATGCAAACTGTGACGAGAGGTGTACATTTTCCGCTATCAGCTTTCTAAATAGTCAATGTTTTATATTTAACAACCAAATATGCCTATATGCTGATTGGTCTTAAGCAGGGTTGTCCAATCTTCAGGTTTTCGTTCCAATCTAGCAGGAGCCACACCTGATTCCAATTGTTGGATCTGCTGATCTTGGCTTTCAATAGACTAAAGTGTGGCTTCTGCTTGGTTAGTATGAAAACCTTCAGCCACACTGGCTCATTCTGGATAAGACTGGACAACCCTGATCTAAAGCAAATCAGCACTAAGGTAAGTGCCACTTTGTGAGTTCTGAATCGGTCATGTTGACATCACTCGATGAACAGGGAAGGCACTGGTAGATGAGAAGACTTCCCATTGTTGACGAATGGCAATTTCAAGTCGAGGGTGCGTTTTCGTTGTATGTTCCTGCTTGGAGGTGGGGAATTACAAGTTGCAACCTCGAGTCAAACGCATCCTTACCCTTGTCTTCTTGATCAAGGAAAGAGTCAGGCTTCCACAGTCAGTGGAAAAGCAGAGACTCCCTGTTATTTTGCAAGCAGCTGTTATCTGCCTTGCTACAAAAGCACAATGGAAGGGAAACCGCTCCCAGCCTTTTTCGAGCGGAGACTTCTTGCTGATAGGTGAACTTGGTGACCACACTTTACAGAAAAATTTCCAGTCAAGTTCAGAGTCTTACTGAGCAACAAAAGAGACAGGCTTCCACGTTCTGTGGAAAACCAGAGATTCCCTTTCATTTTGTAAGCAAATTTGATCTGCTTTGCTACAAAAGCAGGAATTCTGGTCAGTTCAAGGTCTCGCTTTCGGGCTGTTCATAGAGGATCTGATCCTATAGTGATGACAACCGGTCAGTTATTAAAGCAAAATTCTAAATTTGCAGCTTGTCTCTGCCCGGTCTCGAACCAGGGACCTTTTGCATGTGAGGCAAACGTGATAACCACTACACTACAGAAACCATGAAAGCTAATATCTTTGGCTGTTGCCTATGGTCTGCTGATGAGAAATGCACATTCTTAAACTGTCACCAGAATTCCTGCTTTGTAGCAAAGCACAGTCAGTGGAAAAGCAGAGACTCCCTGTTATTTTGCAAGCAGCTGTTATCTGCCTTGCTACAAAAGCACAATGGAAGGAAACCGCTCCCAGCCTTTTTCGAGCGGAGACTTCTTGCTGATAGGTGAACTTGGTGACCACACTTTACAGAAAAATTTCCAGTCAAGTTCAGAGTCTTACTGAGCAACAAAAGAGACAGGCTTCCACGTTCTGTGGAAAACCAGAGATTCTTCATTTTGTAAGCAAATTTGATCTGCTTTGCTACAAAAGCAGGAATTCTGGTCAGTTCAAGGTCTCGCTTGGGCGTTCATAGAGGATCTGATCCTATAGTGATGACAACCGGTCAGTTATTAAAGCAAAATTCTAAATTTGCAGCTTGTCTCTGCCGGTCTCGAACCAGGGACCTTTTGCGTGTTAGGCAAACGTGATAACCACTACACTACAGAAACCACGAAAGCTCATTTCTTTGGCTGTTGCCTATGGTCTGCTGATGAGAAATGCACATTCTTAAACTGACCAGAATTCCTGCTTTTGTAGCAAAGCACAGTCAGTGGAAAAGCAGAGACTCCCTGTTATTTTGCAAGCAGCTGTTATCTGCCTTGCTACAAAAGCACAATGGAAGGGAAACCGCCCCCCAGCCTTTTTCGAGGAGACTTCTTGCTGATAGGTGAACTTGGTGACCACACTTTACAGAAAAATTTCCAGTCAAGTTCAGAGTCTTACTGAGCAACAAAAGAGACAGGCTTCCACGTTCTGTGGAAAACCAGAGATTCCCTTTCATTTTGTAAGCAAATTTGATCTGCTTTGCTACAAAAGCAGGAATTCTGGTTCGTTTAAGGTCTCGCTTTGGGCTGTTCATAGAGGATCTGATCCTATAGTGATGACAACCCGGTCAGTTATTAAAGCAAAATTCTAAATTTGCAGCGTGTTTCGTCCCGTCTCGAACCAGGGACCTTTGCGTGTTAGGCAAACGTGATAACCACTACACTACAGAAACCACGAAAGCTCATTTCTTTGGCTGTTGCCTATGGTCTGCTGATGAGAAATGCACATTCTTAAACTTTTGCTCACCAGAATGGGATTTCCCATCAAGGCATTGGCTATATAGTGGTGGGCATTGGTGATATAGTGGTGAGCATAGCTGCCTTCCAAGCAGTTGACCCGGGTTCGATTCCCGGCTAATGCACAGTGTAAATTGAAGCTTTAAGTGCTACTTTATGGTACTTGGAACAAAAGGAAGGAAGGACCTACCTGAAAATTAGTTGGCAATACAGTGTGCCATAGGCTTCGATGCAGGCCTCTTAGAAACCTTTCAGCTTCCCAGTTGTATTGTTACTGATTCTTTGCTGTTTGGAAGCACATCATTATCCATCAGGGCACGTTTCACCTGTGAACAAGGGGGAAAAATGGGAGAAAATCGGGTCTGTCTTCTGTTAGCGACAAGCAGGCATGCAAACTGTGACGAGAGGTGTACATTTTCCGCTATCAGCTTTCTACATAGTCAATGTTTTATATTTAACAACCAAATATGCCTATATGCTGATTGGTCTCTAAGCAGGGTTGTCCAATCTTCAGGTTTTTCGTTCCAATCTAGCAGGAGCCACACCTGATTCCAATTGTTGGATCTGCTGATCTTGGCTTTCAATAGACTAAAGTGTGGCTTCTGCTTGGTTAGTATGAAAACCTTCAGCCACACTGGCTCATTCTGGATAAGACTGGACAACCCTGATCTAAAGCAAATCAGCACTAAGGTAAGTGCCACTTTGTGAGTTCTGAATCGGTCATGTTGACATCACTCGATGAACAGGGAAGGCACTGGTAGATGAGAAGACTTCCCATTGTTGACGAATGGCAATTTCAAGTCGAGGGTGCGTTTTCGTTGTATGTTCCTGCTTGGAGGTGGGGAATTACAAGTTGCAACCTCGAGTCAAACGCATCCTTACCCTTGTCTTCTTGATCAAGGAAAGAGTCAGGCTTCCACAGTCAGTGGAAAAGCAGAGACTCCCTGTTATTTTGCAAGCAGCTGTTATCTGCCTTGCTACAAAAGCACAATGGAAGGGAAACCGCTCCCAGCCTTTTTCGAGCGGAGACTTCTTGC